CTTGATTCCCTATCTCTTACCCTCTGCCATCTCCCACTCTCTTCCCACACTGTCTCTGGTACCATCAATGTAAACTTTTAAAGCTTCTGTTACTGCTTCCACCAAATGGATATGAAAAGAGTATTGTACCCTACCTTTTAGTGTTATAAAGACGAATTGAGATAATAAGTATAGAATCACTTAGCAAAATTCCTTTTGCCTAAATTATTGGGCAGTATAATTCCACATGACTTAGAAAAAAATCAATAGTTCTTCAACCCTGAAGAAAAGCACAGTCAAGTCTTCAACACTAAGAAAGTGGTTTGTGTAATACAAACAAAAAATTCCCAAAACCTATTTATCAAGCCTCAAAGAGAGTCTGGAGGAAAAAAAAAAGACAACCTGATAGAGAATCATGTGAAATGAGGCTTAGACCCACAAGTAAGAAAAGGCTATCTGTGGTCCTAGCTAGCTAAAAGGCTGGATTACAAGAGGATTACACGTGATGAGACTCATAAAAACGCTCCTCTTTCTGCCCCCCCCTTCCTGCTCTATGTCATTGGAAAAACAAAATCATGTTCTAAGTATGTGTACTTTATCATTTATAAATATTTTTATGTGCATTGTCACATCTGATACAACATCTCGAAGGCTGCCAGGTAGAGAGAAGGTAGAAACCTGCCCATTTTTGCAAACAAAGAAATAAAAGCCAAAGATTCAAAGAAAATAACCTAAAAACAGACAGCTAATTACTACTAATTCAGGATTCAAACCTGAGTCTTCTTACTCAACCAACGTTTGTTTCCACTTTACCCTGCTGATATCTAAATATTCTTAGCTGTTGAAGAAATATCAAAATGTTCTATTACGATTTTCTGCTCCAATAGAACTTAAAGCATTTCCTCACTGAGCAAATATGACTAATGCTGAATTAAAAACTAAAAGGTATTTAAACTTAGCAAGTTTTTTATGCTTACTTAAGAATATTTTGAACTCCTTTTTAAATTTTATTTTATATTAAATAAAATAAAATTTATAATTATATTGCGCCTAAGGAATTTAATGTGTTCTGAGATATATACAGAATATGAAGTGATTAAATCAAGCTAATAACATGCCTGTCACCTCACTTGACATTTTTAAATTGTGAAACATTTTCTCTTAGTTATCAACTTCTAATTTTTTTTAATGTAACTTTATTTTATTTGTTTATTTATTTATTTTCATTTGACCAGAGAGAGAAAGAAAGCAAGTAACCATGCCCAGGACTCGAACCGCTGTCAGCCGTGTGGGAGTCCAGTGCTCTCAACCACCACGCCACATGCTGGCCCCAAAACTTTTAAAATATTTTTAACACCTGATATTCATATTGCTTTGCCATTTTAGAATTTAATTAATTGTGGGACCAGCAGGTGGCATAGTGCTTAAGGAGCTGAAATCCTACAAGGCTGACCATGGTTGAAGTCCTGGTCCTGGTGGCTTACTTTCTCACCTTCCCTCTCTCTCTCGCTCTCGCTCTCTCACTCTCTCACTCGCTCACTCTCTCACTCTCTCGCTCTTTCTCCCTCTCTCTGTGTCTCTTTGTTCAAATTTTTAAAGTAATAAGTAAAATTAAATAATTCTTTAAAAATGAATTAATTTTGTTAGGAGAAAAGGGAAGTTTGAAACAAATTATACTAAACACTAGGTAATTGGATGGTTTTCCTTTTCCTTCCTCAGGTCTTCTTTGCTGTGTTAATTGGAACTTTCAGCATTGGACAGACATCTCCAAGCATTGAAGCATTTGCGAATGCAAGAGGAGCAGCCTATGAAATTTTCAAGATAATTGATAATGTAAGTCTGAGAAAGATATATTCATCTGTCTAAAAGATTATCTAGTTACGGGTTCATTTCTTTAGCGCTTTACCCAACTTTCCACAAATTGCCCCTGAAATTACTTACTATAACCTAGTAATCTCCTGATATTTTATTCTTTTAGAAGCCAAATATTGACAGCTATTCGAAGAATGGGCACAAGCCAGATAATATTAAGGGAAATTTGGAATTCAGAAATGTTCACTTCAGTTACCCATCTCGAAAAGAAGTTAAGGTACAGTTACACATGATTAATCTGTGATAAAACAATGTATGGATGAAGTCTCTGATATTTTACTTTAGAGAATGTAGGGGGCAAAAAGCAAGATACATGTTTCTTAAACCAAATATTGAATTGAACCATCAGCTCATAGGCCTTCCATCTGTGAACTGCCTTATAGCTTATTTCTCACTTGTGCTGGTAGATCTTGAAGGGCCTCAGCCTGAAGGTGCAGAGTGGGCAGACGGTGGCTCTGGTTGGGAACAGCGGCTGTGGGAAAAGCACGACGGTCCAGCTGATGCAGAGGCTCTATGACCCCACGGAGGGCGTGGTAAGGCTCTTGCTGAGAGAGACACTTCAGCTGCAGCAGTTTCCATTGCAGACCATTGCAGTGTTGTCATTTCAACTACAAATGCATGAAAATCACACCTGCTATTAATTCCAGGTCAGTATTGACGGGCAAGACATTAGGACCATAAATGTCAGATATCTGCGGGAAATCACTGGTGTGGTGAGTCAGGAACCTGTGCTGTTTGCCACCACGATAGCTGAAAACATTCGCTATGGCCGTGAAAATGTCACCATGGATGAGATTGAGAAAGCTGTCAAGGAAGCCAACGCCTATGACTTTATCATGAAACTACCTCACGTGAGTCATTCTCGACCTTTATTGTTCTCAAGGTGCAAAGAATAGAATGTTGTACTCATGCATAGGAAGTCAGGAATCTCCTACAAATTGGAGAATGTTCATAAGAACAATCAAGTTTACTTCATATTTTATTTTTATTTATTTATTTTGATTTTTCTTTCTTTTTTCTTTTTTTTTTTTTTTTTGCCACAGAGTATGTGTCCTCACCAGAAAAAGAGAGACAGAGAGAGAAAGTAGGAAATCACTGCCAGGCAGGGGATGGCCACACCATAATCCCTTATCTTCCATTCTTCTCTCAGGATTTCGGCCACACATGCACATGCATCCAATGTGTTTTCAGGCCTCTGGGTCTGGGACTCGAACCATGAAGTTGGCCATGTGAGATCCCGTGCCTTAACCACCATAACACCTTCTGGCTCTAGTTTGTATTTTAGAGCTCTAAAATACTGATACTGGTAGTTGATACTACTAGTATCAACTAATAGTAGACTTTTTTTTTTTTTTCAGATGTTTTTGCTATAGGGCGTGTGCACTCACCAGAAAAACAGAAAGAGATAGAAAGACAGAAAGTGAGAAATCATCCCCCAGGGGGGTGGCCATGCCACAATCCCATCTCCTTCATTCTTCTCTTGGGATTTTGGGCACGCACGCACATGTGCCTAGTATGAGTTTTAGCCACCGGGTCTGGGACTTGAACTGTGGTCAACTACATGGGAGTCCAGCAACATAGCCCTTATGCCAATTGTTGGTTTCAGTAGTAGACATATTTTTAAAATTGGGATTGGTTCTTGCTAAGTTTTTTTTTCTTTTAAAAAAGTTTTATTGAGGTGCAAATAGTATCCAAAACTTTACACTAATTTAATGTATATTTCTGAAGAACTGTATGTTTTTTTACTACCCTGAAAATCCAAGGCTTTTCTCACATACAGTGCCTTTTAAAAATTTTTTTACAAGGGACCAGCAGGTAGCATAGTGATCACAGTGAGGGACTCCCACATGGCTGACTGGTCCAAGTTTGGAACGTGGTGGCTTGCTTTCTCAGTTTCCCTCTATCTCATTCTTTAGGGTCAAATTATAAAAATAGCAATATTAAGTAAAATAAATTCTTTTTTTTTTCCACATGTTCACTTGCTACGGAAAGACACAAGGAAAGTGAAAAATTACCACCCATAGGGAATAGTCATGATCAATTCTTTTATTTTTTTCTTGTTCTTTATTAAAATTTTTTTATTATCATCATAATCTTGTTTATATTACATTGGATTGCATATAACTTTACAGTGTATTACATTGCTTTTTCAAAAGGGAATGCCATGCATGTCAGTCAATACAGAGACATTAATCTCCCCACTTCATCATTCAATATCTTTTCTATGTTTTCCCCGATCATTATTATTATTCTAATTATTTTTTTAAACAGTCAATCACTATTTCTCATTTTGCTTGTAAAAAGACTTTACCCATCATGAAATACTTCTCAGACCAATCCAGTTGAGAATACTATACATGTCATCATCAACAGGTAATAAGCCATATCTGTTTCCCACTAACGTCCTGCCTCTCTATTTGTTCTCTTGCTATCTTTCTCTATCCTGTTCTCTTCAACCCCCTTTCACACTGTCTTATTCTCATTAAGTACTTTCACTGCTTTCATGTCCTCCAATATTTTGCTCTCTATCATAGAGTGCGGATAGTCGGTATATATTAAGTGGATACGTATAATATCTTTCTTTCATAGCCTTGTTTACTTTACTCAGCAGTAGATCCTCCATATCTGACCACTTTCTAGCAAATGCCAGGGTCTTGTTATTTTTTATGGCTGAGTAGTATTCCATAGAGTATATATACCACACTTTTCCAATCCATTCATCAGTTTGTGAACATTTAGGTTGGTTCTTTAATAGCATTCTTTAACCATTATGTCCTGACAGTGTAGGAGGGTTCCCTTTTCACCACATCCCCGCCAACACTTATCACTTTTTATATTCTTAATCTTTGCCATTCTGACAGGGGTTAGGTGGTATCTCATTGTGGTTTTTATCTGCATCTCCCTTATGATGAGGGATGTTGAGTATTTCCTCATATGCTTTTTGGCTGTTCGTATGTCTTCCTTAGATTTTTGGTCAGCTCATTTTCCCATCTTTTATTGGGTTAATCATTCTTTTTTTTTACATAAGGCACTTGATTTCCTTGTGTATTCTGGTTATCATTCCCTTGTCTGAGGCATATTTAACAAAAATATTTTCCCATTCTGAGGGTTGTCAGTTCACACTTGTTACTGTGTCCTTTGCTATCCATAAACTTCTTATTCTGATATAGTCCCACTTACCTATTTTAGGGATTATTGCCTGTGCTTTGGGAGTCTTATTTAAGAAGTCTTTGCCTACTCCAATGTCTCCCAGAGTTTCCCCAGCATTTTCCACGAGTAGTTTCATTGTTTGAGGCCTTGGGTTTGGATCTTTGATCTATTTTCAATTGATTTTTGTTAATGGTGAAAGATAGGGGTTCAGTTTCATCTTTCTGCAAGTGGATACCCAGTTTTTCCAGCACCGTTTACTAAAGAGGTTTATCCTTTTCCCAATGGATTGACTGATATCCTTTGTCAAAAATCAGTTGGCTGTAAGCTTTGGGGGTTATTTCTGGGGTCTCTATTCTATTCCATTGGTCCACATGTCTGTTTTTGTGCCAATACCATGCTGTTTTGATGACCACAGCTTTATAGTATATCTTGGGATCAGGGAGTGATATGCCTCCTACTCCATTCTTCTTGCGCAGGATTGCTTTCACAATACGAGGTCTTTTATGGTTCCAGACAAATTCTATAATTGTCTTTTCTAGATCTCTGAAGAATATCTCTGGTATTTTGATTGGAATTGCATTAAACATGTAGATTAATTTGGGTAGAATTGCCATTTTGATTATGTTAATTCTACCAATCCAGGAGCATGGGATGTCCTTCCACTTTTTTATGTCACTTTCAATGTCTTTTTTAAGATTCTCGTAGTTTTCTTTATAAAGGTCTTTGACTTTCTTAGTTAGGTTTATCCCTAGATATCTTATACATCTTGTGGCTACGGTGAAAGGGATTCCTTTCTTCAGCTCTGCTTCATTCAACTTGTTGTTCATAAATAGAAATGCTATAGATTTTTGGATATCGATTTTGTATCCTGCCACTTTACTGTATTCACTTATTACTTCAAGCAGTTTTTTCATGGATACCTTTGGGTCTTCTAAGTATACCATCATGTCATCTGCAAATAAAGATATTTTCAACTCTTCTTTGCCTATTCGAATGCCTTTAATACTGTTCTCTTCTCTGATTGCAATAGCTAAGACTTCCAGTACTATATTAAAGAGCAGTGGAGAAAGTGGGCAGCCTTGCCTAGTACCTGTTTTCAGAGGAAAAGCTTTCAGCTTTTCCCCATTCAGTATAATATTAGCTGTAGGTTTTTCATAGATTGCTTTTATTGTGTTCAGAAATGACCCTTCTATACCAATCTTACTGAGAGTCTTAATCATAAAAGGATGTTGTATTTTATCAAACGCTTTCTCCGCATCAATTGAGATGATCATATGGTTTTTATCTTTCTTTCTGTTAATGTGGTGTATTACATTTATGGTCTTGCGTATATTGAACCACCCTTGCATCCCTGGTATAAAGCCTACCTGGTCGTGATGAATGATCTTTGTTATATGTTGTTGGATACGATTTGCGAGTATCTTGTTGAGAATTTTCGCATCTATATTCATCAATGATATTGGTCTGTAGTTTTCCTTTTTTGTCATATCCTTATCTGTTTTGGGGATGAGGATGATGGAGGCTTCATAAAATGAATTTGGAAGGTTTCCTTCCTTTTGAATCTTTAGAAATAATTTTAGTAAGATAGGGGTTAATTCTTCCTTGAAAGTTTTGTAGAATTCACAAGTGAAGCCATCTGGGCCTGGGCTTTTCTTTGTTGGGAGATTATTAATTACTGATTCAATCTCCTGGCTTGTTATAGGTCTATTCAGATTCTCTATGTCTTCCTGATCCAATCTTGGTAGTTTATATGCATCCAGGAATTTGTCCATCTCCTCCAGGTTATCTTGTTTGTTGGCGTAAAGTCGCTCATAGTATCCTCTAATGATATTATGTATTTCTGCTATGTCCGTGGTAATATTGCCTGTTTCATCACATATTTGATTAATCTGGTTTCTTTCTTTCTTCTTCTTGATCAGTCTAGCCAATGGAGTATCAATCTTGTTGATCTTTTCAAAGAACCAGCTTTTGCTTTCATTTATTTTCTGTATGGTTCGTTTATTTTCTATTTCATTTATTTCTGCTCGAACCTTTATTATTTCTTTTCGCCTGGCATTTTGGGGGTTCGTTTGTTGTTGTTTTTCCAGTTCTCTGAGGCATGATGATAAGTTATCTACTTGCCATCTTTCCATCCTTTTCTTATGTGCACTAATTGCTATGAATTTCCCTCTTATGACTGCTTTTGCTGTGTCCCATAGGTTCTGGACACTTGTGTCCTCATTATCATTTGTTTCCATAAATTTGTTTATTTCAGCCTTAATTTCTTCAGTAGTGAAGAAGTCATTCAGAAGTAGGTTGTTCAGTTTCCATGTGTTCGTGTGTTTTCGGGGTTGTTTCTTGAAATTAATCTTGAGTTTAATTCCATCATGGTCAGAGAAGATGCTGGGTACAGTTTCTATGCCTTTGAATCTGTAAAGGCTTGATTTGTGTCCTAATATATGATCTATCTTTGAAAAGGTTCCATGTCGGGGTGAGAAAAATGTATATGTTGTGGATGTAGGGTGGAAAGTTCTATAGATATCTGTCAAGCCCATTCCATTTATAGTATCATTTAAGTCCTGTATCTCTCTATTTATTTTCTGTCTAGAAGATCTGTCTATAGGAGATAACGGGGTGTTGAGATCTCCAACAATTATAGTATTTTTCCCTATGTCTCCTTTTAGCTCCAGCAGTCTTTCCTTCACATATTTAGGCGCACCTGAGTTGGGTGCGTAGATATTTATAAGGGTTATATCTTCTTGCTGGATTACCCCATCTACTATTATATAATGCCCTTCTTTGTCTCTTCTTACAGTCTTTGTTTTAAAATCTATTTTGTCTGAGATCAATATCGCTACTCCAGCCTTTTTCTGATTTCCATTTGCATGGAATATCTTTTTCCAGCTGGTATAGTACTCCCTTCAGAACCTCTTGAAGAGCTGGTCTGGAGTTGGTAAATTCCTTCAAATTTTGTTTATCCAAGAATGTTTTTATGTTTTTTTTCCCATATGAAAGATAACTTGCCAGGTATAGTATTCTTGGTAGAAATTGTTTTTCACTCAACGCTTTGACTATGTTTCCCCATTCTTTCCTTGCTTGCATTGTTTCCACCAAGAGATCCAATGTTAGCCTGATGGGGTGACCTTTGTAAGTAACGTGATGTTTCCCTCTTGCCAACTTTAGTATCTTGACTTTGTCTGTTGTTTTTGCCAGTATGGCTATGATGTTCCTTGGAGAGGATCTTCTTGGATTGATTCTACTCGGGGTCCTATGTATTTCATGGGTCTGGATATTTGAATGCCTTTCTAGGTTTGGAAAGTTTTCTTCCAGGATTTCATGGAGTAAATTATCTAGGCCCTTATTATGTTCTTCCCCTTCTGCAATACCAATTATCCGGATGTTGGGGTGCTTGATGGTATCCAGTATTCCTCCTATATTATCCTCATTTTTTATGGTTGTTTTCTCAATCTTTTTGATGCTTTTTTCTACGTCAGATGTTTTGACTTCTACGTTAAAGATTCGATCTTCTGCCTGGTCTAACCTACTGGGTTTGATTTCCTGTATCACATTCTTCAACCCTAGAAGTTCCATCTGGTTCTTGTTTAAGGTATCCATTTCTTCTTTCAGGTCATGAAAGGACTTCCTCATCTCCTGGAGCTACTTTTCTATTTCCTCTTCATCTCAGTTAGTTTGATCAGTACAAATATTCTGAATTCTTATCAGACATGTCCACAACGTCCATTGTATTGACTGTGGGTGATGTAGGCTTGATGATTTCCCTTGAGGGAGAGGCCTTCTGTTGGTTGCTCATATTTCTTGACCCTTGCAATTGTTCCTAGTTATCAGGTAATCTATATGTTGCTTCCTAACTTATTTACGTTATCTCTGAATATTAAAAGTTGTACAGAATTAGAAAACTAATTATTTTTCTTAAAGTTGGCCTACCTGTTGCTCATAATTACCATTAATTGTTGCCACTAGTGCTGGATGGCTTAAAGTCCTCCCTGTTTCTAAGGAGTGGTGAGCCTCCAACTGACCTAATAAGGAACACCTCAAGAGCAAAGAAAAATAAAACAAATAAAGAAATCACTATTCAAATCACTAAAATTCAGAGAGTCCAAAGGCAAGTGGGGAAGCACCAGAGGATGAGTGACAAGTCTGGGGCTGTTGGGCCTGCAGCCTCAGGCCACCTGGTGTCCTGAACTGCTGGCCAGCTTGATCCAGTTTGCTGGTGGGTTGGGGTACTAGTTCATCTTAAAGTCCCATGCAACCAACCTGGGGTTCAAGGAGGTGCAGGGGTGGCGATGGGTGAAGGGGTTCTTGCTAAGTTTTAAAGAACTGGATTGTGTTGCCTGAGACTTGGGTGGTTTATGGATTACTTCCCTGTTTAAAATGTGACAGGAGATAGCTTCTTTTGCCAAGTCCTCCTATGTTTTCTGTTGTAGAAATTTGACACCGTGGTTGGAGAGAGAGGGGCACAGCTGAGTGGAGGACAGAAACAGAGGATCGCCATTGCTCGAGCCCTGGTTCGCAACCCCAAGATCCTGCTGCTGGATGAGGCCACGTCAGCCTTGGACACAGAGAGTGAAGCAGTGGTTCAGGCGGCTCTGGATAAGGTCGGTGAGCTGAGTCTGATCAGTCTGATTTATAAGCAAAAGAATATTCCACTGCTAATTCTCAACATTCATAGTCTCAGAAAAGGAAATTTCTCATTACTTCTATGGGATTCCTTTCACTTGTTGAAAATATAAGTATTAGCCCTGTTTGAAATCTTTTTTGTTTGTTTGCTTATTCAATTTCTATTTATTTCTTTGTTCTTTTTAAAAATCATGACTTGCACAGTTTTTAAATTAAACAATGAGTAATGTTGACAGATGAAAATTGGTCTTCATTATCATCTTGAAAACTTAGCTATAGGGATGTTATAACCATGTTATATAGGTTTTGAGAATTTGTCATGTTGTCAACAAGAGGGAAGTACAATCTAAAGGTTCACATTTTATTTCTAAGATGTAAATTGCCACTTGAAGCCCCTATGGGAAATAAGGAACCTTTTATCCTCAGCAGAGGGGCAGAGAGAATTTGATGTTAGAAATCTACCTGAGCTGTGAAATGCCGTTGACTAGCCACCGTGTGACTGTCCTATCATTCTTAAGTCACGTGCCACTGGACAAATAGCATTGAAGTGCTTGTTCTGTGCTAGACACTGTGTGGTTAGTGTCCAAGCACATAATGGTGACAAGACCAGCTCTGCAAGTACATAGAATGGAGAGACCTTTTAACCAGGTGCTCTGAGTTGAGATGTCAAAGTAGAATGCAAAGATGAAAGTATATTTGTTCTAATTAACCCCTCTCTAATGAAACTACACTGTATGTTGCTTTAAAAATACTATCAGTGCAGTTAACAAATTGTTGTGGGGAGAGAGGGAGCAGCTTACTAAACATTCTGTGAACTCAGAAGCAGATGGAATTGTGGCTGCTTCCCCCCTCCTTCACTTTGCTTGTCTGTGTTTTCACATCTGTGTTTTCTTATTGTTTTGCTTATCTGTGTTTTCTTATTGTTTTGCTTCTCTTTGTTTTGTTATTGTACAATGGAACTTTATATTCTATATATAAGGGCAAATATTTTTGGAAAGATTTCTGATATAGGGCATGTGTGCTCACCAGAAAGACAGAGAGACAGAGACAGAAAGCGAGAAATCACCCGCTCCCAGGGGGGATGGCCACACTATAGTCCCTTGTCCTCCATTCTCCTCTTGGGATCTTGGTCATGCACACACACATGCCTCGTGTGAATTCAAGCCACTGTGTCTGGGACTCAAACTACATGGAAGTCCAACGACATAGCCATTATGCCAACTGCTGTTCCCAATTGCAAATTTTAAAGACATTTAAAAGTACGTTTTCTTTAGAGTGTAATGGGGGGGTGGGGCATTCTGCGTTCCCATTTTTTCTCAAAAATATCCAAAGAATCAATCGTCTTCTTCATTTTCTAGTTGCTGCCACCTGTTTCTCCTCACATGTATATTTTTCTTCTTTGCTTTTATTTTTCATATTGATCTTGATATCTTTATGTGTTTTAGAGATTTATGGGTAGTTATTGGAGAGAAACAGAACAGTGAAATTTCTAAGCACTGGGAAAATGAATATAGATTAAAGACATCTCAGATAAGTTTGGTTATCTGGTTCTGTATCATATTAAAATTAAAAAAAAAAAAGGACTGGGCATTTAAAAACTTTTACACAATTTTTTGAGTTTTCCAAAATGCTTCTACCCAGGAATAAGTATCATTTACTAAGAACTTGCTATATGCAAGTCACAGTGCTCTGTGCTTCAAGTGCATTATTTTATTGAGTCATCACAGCTGCCCCCTGTGAGTGAGTGCTGCTATTATCCCCATTTTACAGATGAATAGGCTGAGCCGCACACAAGTTAATACACTTTGTTAAAATCCTGGAATTCATAAATGACAGAAGTAGAATTTAAGTTGAACTCAAATGACAGCAAAACTGCATTTGTCTGCCTTGTTTTATTGTCTGTCTTGATCATCCACATGGTTCTGTGAAATGGGACATTATGTTCCCTAGGGCTGGCCACTAGCTGGTGTATACCAGAAAAGCAAGCTGGCCTGTGCTGGTTTTGATTAGTTAATGCCTGGGCTGTGATTTTACTTTGTGTAAATTCCTGATAATCACTGCAAATTTAAACTAATAGTGTTATGTAATATTAAAATGCATATGTTATATGTGTTTTTGTATTTTTATAATAAAACATCATTTAGACTATTATCAATTGACGATTTTTGAAGATAGTCAGGGACTATTTAGACTCTATCAATGGACGATTACAGAAGATAGTCAGGGACTATTTTCTGTAGCTTTGATAGTTTTATAATGTCCAGAGCACTGGTGTTCAGTAAATGTAAATTGAAGGAGTCAGTTTTTGCCAGCAGTTGGTAATGTATTCAAAAGGCAAATTGCTCTCTCTTTAGGCTAGGAAAGGCCGGACCACCATTGTGATAGCGCATCGTTTGTCCACAGTGCGTAACGCTGACGTCATTGCTGGTTTTGATGATGGAGTCATCGTGGAAAAAGGAAGTCATGAGGAACTGATGAAAGAGAAAGGCATTTACTTCAAACTAGTCACCATGCAGGTATAGTGTACTTCTAGAATTTTCCTAAATTTTCCCAGGGATAGGCTGATTGTGCTGCATTTAATGAATGTCCTTTGATTTAATTATCTTGAAAAGCAGAAAAAATGCTTGGGTGAATTCATAATCAGATTGGTATTTAGATTTTTTTTCTCTTAAATGGAGGGAAAAATAAAGAATAGGGATCAGCAAATGGCATAATGGTTACGTTATTGGACTCCCACCGTGTTCAAGTCCCGGACCTGGCAGCTCAAAACTCATGCTAGGTGCATATGTGTGCATGCCCAAAATCCCAAGAGAAGAATGGAGGAAAGGGGATTGTGGTGTGGCCATCCCTTCTGGAGGGTGATTTCTCACTTTCTGTCTCTGTCTCTTGGGTGAGTGCACATGTCTTAGAGCGAAAATTTCTCAAAAATAAGGATAATTAGAGAAGAGTTTAAAGAAGCAAACATTTAACGGATATAAAATTGGAAAATTATCTTTTGAAGATAATATGTATCATAATATCTTTAACTGGATTGATATGCAGTATATTCATGCTAGGAAAATTCATTTTGCATGCTGTAATGATATACAGTAATTAAATGTATACAAATAAAATGTATATAAAAGAAAAATTTTAAAGGTGGGCTATCCACTTTGGTAGCCATGTGGGTAATTGGCCATTTGAATGGTAGTCTGAATTGAAGTGTCCTAAGTTGAAAATGTACACCAGATTCCAAAGACAGTCCGAACAAGAGAAGGCAAAATATCTCCATAATTTTAAATCAATTATATGTTGAAATGATAATATCATTGGATAGCAATAATATCATGGATATAATAGGTTAAATAAAATGTAATTAAAGTCGATTTTGACTCTTTTCCCATTTTCTGCTGTAGCCACTAGAAAAATTTGAATGGCAAATGCAGCTCATGGTTCGGCTTGTACCATGTTTCCATTGACAGTTCTGATCTGAAGCAAACTTCCCTGAGCCAACCACTCACAAAAGGGAGATGACTAGATAAGGTACATGGGATAGATGGCATGTTGTTTAGCACATTCAATGGAAAAACTTCTTATTTAGTGGTTTCCATTTGCACATATATTACACACAAGAAGGAACAGCAGTTTAACTTACTCTTTTCTGTTATTAAACAAGTTACCATTTTTCTAGATAACTGTTGTTCAGTGCTTAATTTTCATTGGTTAACTGAGCCTAATGAGCATAATGCACATTTCTTGTGTATTTTAGATGGTGGGAAATGAAATCAAATTAGAATGTTCGACTGGTGAATCCAAAAGTGAAACTGATGCCATAGAAATGTCTGCCAAAAATTCGGGATCCAGTCTAAGAAGAAGAAGATCATCTCACAGGAGTGTCTGTGGATCACAAAACCAAGACAGAGAGCTTAGCACAAAAGAGGCTGAGGTACGAGGAGGATGGACAGTTTTACATGTTGAACCCTCCTGCTATAGATTCCCAAGTTTGGTAGGCTGTGGTGGGAATGGAACAGGAAAAGGTTTTCTAGAATTCTCCTGTCTTAGTTTCAGAGTGTTCCACAAACCAAAATGTCAACATTTTAGAATCAGGTGAGAGTTTAAGAATGACAATTTATAGGACAAGGTTTTTAGAATTTGAATACATAATATATAGACACTAGAGAGGGTCTTCAAAGAGCAACATTTCTAGTTTGATTTTATCCCTACTTGTAAATCTTATTGTCATGTTGTGAATGCCAGGTAGGAAATAAAAATTTGTCAACATGTTTATTTCTTCAAACAGAAGGGCGTACTGCAGTGAAATATGTGAGCTTTTTTTTTTTTTTTTTTAGCTAAATAGCCACCAGTTAATAAGAAATGGGAATAGGATATATTCAGGGCTGTCTCTGTAGCAGAACAGTTAAGCCCTGTCCACAGAAATCTGGATCCCATATGGCCAAATGGGATTAGAATCCCAGCTCTTGGAGCTCAATAATCACACTGGGCATGCATGTGTGCCTGCCCCAAATTCTAATGGAATGGAGAAATGGAAGAAAAAAGATTGTAGTATGACAACCCCCCACTGGGGGGAGGGTGATTTCTCTTTCTCTCTAACAAGCACATTGGCTCTTTGGAAATTAAAAAAAGAAAGGATAGGCTATATTCACTTAGAAATTTTTGTGCATATAGACATGTACACCATATAATCATTTATCAATTTCTTTTTTTTAAAAAAAATTCAAGTTCACATCTTTTATGAGAGAGAGAGAGAGAGTAACAGGTCTCTTAGGCAGGGTCTCACCGTACTGTGATCTTTCCCCCAGCTTCCCAGCCTTCCAGGATCACAGGCACACATGTTCGGCATGCTTAAGTCACCCCGGGATCCATACCTGAGCTGCATGCTCTACTCCCCATGATGGGCTTCAATTCTTTATAACTAGCCTGTTACACTATTTTGTATTTTCCAGGATGAAAATGTACCTCCAGTTTCCTTTTGGAGGATTCTGAAGATGAATTTAACTGAATGGCCTTATTTTCTGGTTGGGATATTTTGTGCCATTATAAATGGAGGCCTACGACCAGCATTTTCAGTAATATTTTCAAGGATTGTAGGGGTAAGTGTTTATGTCTTTATGGGGTTGATTTTTTGTGAGTCCTGACTACAGAATGAATTAGCTGTATTTGTGTCAGTACCTAACCACAGAAACAGGTACCTTTGTGTGAAAGTAGCTGCTTGAAGGTGTAAGACTAGAGGACTAGGTTGTGAGAGGAAAGCTGATTTTGTTAACTTCTGGCAGCTGATTTCCATCCCAAGGCGTTGGGTTCCATGACATAGTCAGTGAAACTGGTGAGATGACTTTCCCAGACCTGCCTACGTTAGAGTCTGGGCAAACCTCATCAACTCTTATCTTACGAATGTGCAGAGAGAGTTCCTCGTGGGTTTTTCAGACCAGTTTGAGAGAGCTGTTCTCTAACACACACCTTTCACACATGAGCATGCTCCCTCTGGAAGGTGTAATTTTCATCCCACAGCTTCCTAAAGATTGAGATTGGCATGTGTTGGTTTCACCAGATTTTAATGGTTGCGTTTCTAAATACCGAAGATACGATCTGGGCAGGAATCCTCTCTGTTTAATGACAGATATTCAAACATCAAGCCATAACTGCTGAAAACATTGTGGAGAAAGATGTTGATTATTACAAGAATAAGCCAAACACTAGCTTGTATTTCCCTTTACTCATGATAGAGCACATGCACATTTGTGTGTGTGTGTGTGTGTGTGTGTGAGAGAGAGAGAGAGAGAGAGAGAGGAGCACCTCCAAAGGGTCTGGTCATGCTCCTGTCCTCCAGCCTATCGGATCTTGGGCACTGTCGTTCATGCCTGGCATGTTTCAGGCTGACTAGGCCGGGTATTTGAACCCGTAGCCACCACGTGGGATCCAGCTCTCCTTGAACAGTACATTACTGCTGCGCTACAGAGCTGGTCCTAACATTTTCTTTTTAACTCTCTTATTATTATTTCTGATTATTTTACCAAAACGTATGTAACTATTCAGATCTACCTGTACGTGGCTAACTGATTCAGGCGGATACTTATGTTTAAAGGGATCATTCAAGAAAAATTTCTCCAGCGCTTACTCTGTGTCAGGTATTTTTCTAGGTGCTGAGAACACTGAGAAGGAAACAAAATGTGTGATTCCATGGAGCGTACATCTTTAGGACAGGGGTCAGCGAAGAAGGCAATTTGCTAAATATTTTAGACCTGGTAGGCCATAGAGCTTCCTGGAAATACTCAGCTCTGCCCTTATCGTGCAAAAGCAGCCATAGCCAGTATAGAAGTACGTGAGCATGGCTGCGTTCAGAGTTTACTGATCCCTGTTCTATCATATGTCTTACAGACAGCGGGGTAGACAGTGGGGTCGTCAGAAACATCAAAGTCAGTATGTTAGGAATGGGTTTGGCTCCATGTAATAAAAACTCAGTTTTATATTTTTCTCATTTTTCACATAACAATAAATCTGAAAGTGGTTAACACCTAGCGGCTGAGTAGGTACCACCAGCCATCTGTATCATTAAAGATAATGGCTCGACTCCTTCCTTGCTGGCCACTGAACCCTGAGTAAGTCAACTGAGATCTCTGTGCTCCAGCTTCTTTCTGTGTAAAATGTGATGATAATAAAACAACTTTTTTTTTCTTTTTTTTTTTGGAGAGGTTTTTGCTGACGTGCGCTAGTCAGAAAGACAGAGACAGAGAGATAGAAATCACCCCCTAGGGGGAATGGCCACGCTGAAAATCCCTTCTCCTCCATTCTCCCCTCGGGATCTTGGACACGCACGCACACGCGCCCAGTGTGCATTTAGGCCACCGGGTCTGGGATTCAAACCGTGGTCAACTATAGGGGAGTCCAGCGACATAGCCACTACGCTAACTGCTAGTCCCAATAATAAATCAACTTTGGGAGATAGTTGTGAGGATAAAGAGAATAGTATTCATGAATTTTCTTGGAAGTAAGCCTGGCACAGAGGAAGAATTCAGTGATTGTTACATATTAATTTTTTTGGATTGACTAGTTAGGAAAAGTGGATTGGTTTAAATTGATGTCTGAATATTGATTATAATCTCTTCTAAAATAATTTTTCCCCCCCAAATGATAAAGTTGTCTGTGTTGGGCTGGGAATGTCCCTCTTCTACAAGATTTTGTCCTACATATCAAGGGGTAATATGTATGTGTTTTTTCCCTGTGAAGTATCATCCTCTGTATTCTTTAAGCCCAAGCCACCACCCTCATTCCTTTAACCACTTCTGGAAAGGTTTCCATGACGGTGCTAGGTCAGCTGGTTGTGGGTCCCACCTGGCCATCCTGCAAAGTAGGCTGGCTCAAGGAATTCTCCTCCTTTGTGAAAGGCCTGGGCTGAGTGAATAACCATGTCTCCATTTACCAAAGCCACACCACCAGATTTGCTCCAGATACTAGAGGGCAGTTTGCGAAGTCCAGAGACTAAAATAATGAGTTTACGTTATAAACCTAATTCCCCACCAGGGGAAGAGGAGCGTTTGTTCTCATTTCTACTTTACACAGCAGGGGTGGCATGCATTGTTCCAGGAGGGAATATGAGCATAAAAATATTGGGTCACTTTATGAGTGAAAGACGCATTCCATTCTCAGCCTCAAAGGAAGGCAGAATAGAGATACCTTTGAGTTGACCTTGGGGAAGCCATCCCTGACTCCCCTATTCTAAGGCTCTCCTGAGTTTTGTACTGGGCTGGGTGGGAAGTAGGTCAGACCCAGAATGACTTCAGTGATTGAACTAAAAACCTTTAAATATTTTCTTACAGGTTTTCCTAAGAAATGATGATCTTGAAACGAAACGGCAAAATAGTAATATGTTTTCACTCTTGTTTCTAGTCCTTGGGATTATTTCTTTTTTTACTTTTTTCCTTCAGGTAAATGTCTACATTTTTTCTTTATTCATTTTGGGAAATGCATTATTTTTCAACAGGGGAAGTTCATGAACAGTGTAATTTGCCCTGTAGTAGAATTAGTTCTCTGTTATCTTGGCTACTAACAGACGTTTCTTTGATATGTATATAAAGCAAAGACATTCTCCTCCTCTGGCTTCCTTACCTTCTTTCTCCATCCTCTCCTCTCTAACTGGAGCTATTGAAGAAACTAGAGGGAAACTTATTGGAATGAAAGTTAGGGTTCAAACATAGGATTTGGGGAGCTCAATATAAATTTGGATATCGGCAGTGCCATCAATTTAAATATTCCAATGTTTTTCTGTGTTCTGAAAGCAAAAACAACAAACAAAACCCCATAAGTAGGTCGCACTGAATTAAAAAGGGTTTGAAGAGTTTACTATTTAACTTTTGCTAAAGTAGAAGGAGCTCTTCAGAAGAACGTCAATCCTCAGACAAAAACAGTAAGAAACATTTTTGTAGATTCAGATTTTTACAGCTTGCACATCATTTGGCTGAAGTAAAATTGCAAGACAATCGAGTACTCTAAAAGCTTAGAATGGGAAGGCGTTGTGGGGTTTGGCGTGATATCTGGATTTGAGTACCACTTGTTTCTAGTATTGTGTCCTTGAGCAAGCAAGTAATTTAACTGTCTAAGCCTCAGTAAAGAGGTCATGTGACCAGGCCTGTGTGTAACAATCCCTTTTTTTTTTCTTTTTTTAAAGACTTACTTATTTTATTTTATTTGTTATTATTTTTCTTTTCATTTGAATAGAGGGATACAGAGAGAGAGTGAGAAAGCAAGCCCCTAGGTCTTGGACTTGAACCACAGCCGGCCATGTTGGAGTATGGTATCTCTACCACCACACCACCTGCTTTCCCCTCAATCATTTATTAGCTGAATGATTCACAATATGTGAGTTTTAGATAAAACTCTAAATGTTTTTACCATTTTGTAAGCATGTATTAAATTTCTTAAAAGAATAGTGTTCAGAACATCATAGGAAATGCCGAGGAAAAAAGACTGAACTCTACCTTCACTAAATACTTTAAGTCTCACTGAGAAAATTGACCTGCCTAGAATAAAAGTGACACTCTAACCCCATACAAGATCGCCACACCAACTCTTAAAGCCATAGGTGTGTGGAGAAAATAAACATTGCTCAGCGTGACGCTGGTTTAGGGGTTGGAGGGAAGTGGGCTCTGAACTAGTTCCCTAAATTCTGATAGTTTGGACTGGAGAAGCAAAGGAAGTTTAAACATTGGTGCTAAGAGTCTGGCTTGCCAGATGCGCCAAGGTGAGCACAAGGTGAGTTACAGGACCGCAAAACTGTGGAGATAGCACAAGGCCTGAAGATGGCCAAATGTTCACCTTCTCATTTTAGAAACGGAGGAAGCTCAGTGGGCGATTAACAGCTCAGGTTCTGGGTTCTCATGCTGGCTGGGAGTCTCACGGTCTTGGATTTGGATTCCAGATCTGCCACTTTCTAGCTGACTCTGGCATCTTACCAACCTCTCTACACCTTGCTTTCGTCTGTAAAGTGGTGATTACGGGGTTGTCATAAGGACTTAATGTGATAATGTATGTAAAGTACGGAGTCAGAGTAAGTGCTGAGTAAAGGCCAGCTCTCAACAAAAGTAATAATGGTAATATTCCTGAAGTCGGCAAGGTCTTTCACATTCCGTTCAGTCAAGTAAGAGGAACTTTATTATCTTCATTACCAACGAAGCATAAGCACATTTGTAATTTTAGACTTAAACTCAGCCACTCTAAGATCGTTCCCCTCCTCTTTCTCCCTGGACTGGTGTCGGTATTAGCAGAGGGCAGAGGGTATGTCTGTGGGCTTTTTGTGCCCCCAACTTCGTGCTGATAACCCGAGGGCTCCGCAGCCCCATCCAGCGTTCAACGACATGAGCCCCCCTGGCAGTCACATTTAGGATTTGGCTGTAACTTTTCCCCTTTGCGTGTGCTTCTTCCCTCTCATGTGCTTCTTCCTCTCTCTCTCAACAATGTACGACACGCTCCTCAGGAGTGCAGCAGAGACGCAGTTGCCCTCCTCTGATTTTCTGATTCCCCAGGAGATTCAGACTTGTCGCCACGGTCTCTCCCCTTCTGGAGGGCCTCTCCTCGCCTCCATTTCTGCATTGGGCCATTTCCATTCTACGTCCCCATGTCATTATGTGGCAGGCCCATCTGTAAACTGCCACTTCCCAGTCCAGAAAAAAGAGGCAGGACTGCTTCTCTCTAGTCCTGTATCTTCAAACTCACTGTGAGGAGGATTCTGTTGTCCCTCCTCAGTGTGGCCCATCACGGCAGCACACTCACATCTTACTGTGTTCTTTCCTGACTCTCTTCCCTCGTCCCAGACACAGGTGATATTCCCCAGGGTGGGGGCGGTTGGGGGTAGGGAGGAGCCGTGCAGCCGTCCACTCTCAGCCAGCCTAGTCAGCCTATGTTGCTTCTAGACTCTTGCTTTTATCAACTTGAAAACTAGGACTTTGATTTCTTTGTTCTCTGCATCCTGTTGGGTTGTCAGAAGTCATGACACATTTTTTCATTGTGAAAAACACTGAAAAAAACATCATGACTTTTCTGACAACCCCATACATGGCTGGGTGACCATAAATTCCTGTTTGCCCTGATTACTTCCCAGGTCTGGTATAATTATTAAAAGCCTTTCTCTCATTCTTAAAAATGTTCCAATTTGGATTATCCATAATTCAGCTGCCTTGGGTAGAGTGCCCCATGCCTTCCGGAATACAACCAGCGTCCTAAGCAGTAGACCCTGTTCCCTGGGGGGAAATAAAGTAGGAAGGGTAGTGGAAGACAGAGAAACCAATTTCTTAATTAATTCCTGACCAGCCTATCAGTTAGTTGGGAGTGGCCGTGTCAGTTTCAAAACTGGGCTCTTCCAGCTACACCACCAGGCAAATGCAGCCACAGAAATGGAGCAAACCTTGAAATCTAGCTTTCTGACCTTATCCTAGTACCTGCTGTAGCACTGACGTTGAGTCCCCTCTTCTGTGTAAATAGCATCTGAGTCCCTGACAAGTCTCTTGTGCTGCACGTTCTTCTTTACAGGGCTTCACTTTTGGCAAAGCTGGAGAGATTCTCACCAAGCGGCTCCGGTACATGGTTTTCAAGTCCATGCTGAGACAGGTACGTCTGTTGGGTTGTGCCTTGGGTGTATAGACCTCCTCAGCAGTAGGAAATCTGCCAAGCTCTTCTGCCCAAGCTCCTGTATTGGTCATCCCTCACACTCGCCTCAGAGATATGACCGGAGCACCCCTAGGTGCAAGCTAAGGCCCTGCTGTGTGTCTGCTATGGTCACAGGGAACTGGGTTGTTTGAGATAATTGGAGTCTTCAGAGTGGACTCACTTCAGCCTTTTGCCTGGATGCTTGTGGACAGTGTAGGTAGAAGTGCCCTTCAGCCATCAGCCCTTTCCTTTCTTTCAATCTTTCTACTGGGAAACCCAGGAAACTCCTGTTTCTTCCCACCAAATGATACCCTCTGCTCCTTTCTTTCCACAATCCAAAAGTCATCTCATGGTCCACTCCTCACTAACTAGTTTCTTGGCTGGGGCTCAACTCACATATTGATTCATCCTAGCTGATGACTTCATGGAATGCTTCTAGCAAAGCCCTAACAGTGACGTATGTGAATGCTTTTCTTGGGGAAGGGTGTTGGGAGACCAAGGACATGTGTCCCAGAGCAGCTAATTCAAAGGGGTTATTTAACAATCATGAAAATTTCGTATATGACTTTACAATTCTCCATTTTTAAATCACAAATCCCTTGCCGTTGAATAAAATAAGGCTTTAGGAGGTTTCCCCAGACATGTCAAAGGCCCTGAAACCCTGGCAGAGAAGCATCCATTTGCTGTGTTAGGATTTCGAGAGGACAGTCAGTTTCCCAGTTGTTTGGTTTCCTCAGTCATTCCCTATTCCTCCCACCACCACTTAAATGGAAGTCATACTTGTGCCAGTTAGTGACTGACTGAACCAGAATTGAGTCGGATAAAAGAGAACACTGTTTAATGGGGTACTCTGTCCATGGACCCTAAGTCAAACCATATTGACAACTGAGATTCCACTTAGGCTTGAATCCGACCTTGGTCCAGGGCCAAATGCCCCATTACTTGCAAACCTCTAGGCCAAGTGCTAGGACCATTATACTTTGGGAGCTGAGCTGATGGTTTGTGTAATGTCCCCTCCATAAATTGCTAAGTAGGGCAAACATATTAAGTATCTCCTTCTTATAAGGCACAATCAAATCTGAATGGTTGGAAGTCCCTGTCTTCGAGTGGGGAGACACTTAAGCCCTTCAGAATATTGAGAAGTAAATCAATCATGCTATAATAAATGATAGTACTTGGTTTGAAATTTTTTTGAAAAAATGATATACTGCTTTAATGCAAGTCAGTAATTCAGATAATTTCTTAGAGACCATAGTTATTTGCAATAGATAAAAGTCTATATTTTAAGTTTATACTTTTGTTTGTATATTTAAAGCTGTAAATGGTTTTACAAAGGACATACCATTTCATGTTGATTGTTATATTTCAATTTAGATTGCTTTTATTGATTTGTTTTTAACTCAGCTCATTTATTCTGTGCTAAGGTACAATTATCTAACTGCTTATTCAATGTCTCTATTGACTGTCTAATAAGCGTTTCCTACTTCAACATTTCCAAAGTTGCGCTTTTGCCTTTCCCTCCTCAGGAGGCTTCCTCCTTTCTTACCCTCTCATCCCTCATCTCAGGAAATAACAGCTTCTTTCTTCCAGTTGTTCAGGCCAAGATCCTTGGAGTCATCTTTGACTCCTCTCTCTCTTTTTATTATTGAAATAATCTCCTATCTGGTTTTACTGCCTCCTTCCTTCTCTCAATCCAGTGGGTTCAGCTCAAAACAGCCAGAGTTCTTCTCCAAAATTGTAAGTCAAATCACATCCATCTGCCTTCTTTACAGTTATCTAAGGCTGTGCATACTGTGGTCCCCACTACCTCTCAGACCTCAAGTCCTGCCATATCATCCTTTTTTTTAGCACCCAATCTGCTCCATACACAGTGGCTCACTGCGTGTGGATGTGAGGAGAGGCTCAAGAGGAGCCACATGAGGACAGAAACCTGTCCAGAGGAAGAGGCAGCTGTTACAAATTTGCACAACGGTTCTCTGCAAGCTGCTGTCAGCCTTTAAGGCCATCTTGCCAGTGTATTCCCGTCACATATGCTTCTGCCTCGACCTTTGCACAGATTGTTTGTGCCCTCAGATCTTCTCCTACCTTCTCTACTCAAATGTCATCTTAGAGACGCTTTCTCTGTCCCCTCCCTGGGCTCTAGAATAGCACCTTCTCTTATTTCTTTGTCCTTCTTACCCCGATATATGCTCTTTTTTTTTTTCAAATGATTTATTTGCATTCATTCACTGTACATCATTACAGCATACAAAATGAACTTTCCTATTCAGAGTACACTGTATATTGTCTCAATCAAGCACATCAACAAACACGTTATTGTCAGCAAATAATTTTTCATTTCTTGTTTTCTGTATGTTTTGCTTTTTTCCCCCATCCTTGATTCCCTATCTCTTACCCTCTGCCATCTCCCACTCTCCTCCCACACTATCTCTGGTATCTGTGTTTCCTTTCTATACTGTTTTCCATCCCCCACATTTTATTGAATTACTAAAGACCTTAATTAATCTAAATATTTTTATAGCAAACACCCGTGATATATGCATTTCCATGAACACAAGTCTAACTTTACATACCCTATAAAGTAGCACGTAGCTGGAGCTATATATCCTACTGCAATCATTGAATAGATATTTTTTTTCCTGAAATTTTTTTCTTGTAACTTAATTTACATTCTTTCC